TCAGTTCCACCACGCAGGCTCGCTGCCTAGGTGTTCTCTTTGACTCCAACCTCTCCTTCAAGCCTCATGTTCAATCTATCGCCAAAGCCTGTCATTTCCATCTCAAAAACATTGCGTGCATCCGCCCCTACTTAACGCCAGATGCGACTAAGGTGTTGGTCCATTCCACTGTCCTTTCTCGCCTTGACTACTGTGGTCTTACGTGCTCCCACCTCGCGCCGTTACAGTCCATAGTGAATGCGGCTCATCTTCCCATACCTCACCCTTCTGTCAGTCCCTACATTGGCTTCCTATAAAATATAGAGCTCAATTTAAAATTCTGGTTCTTGCTTTCAAATCTCTACATAATGCTGCGCCCACCTATCTATCCTCCCTTATACACAAGTATGTCCCATCTAGGCCCTTACGATCTGCTGAAGACTTACGTCTATCTTCTGTCCGTACTCCCACCTCTGATGCTCGCCTTCAAGATTTCTCGATGGCTGCACCGTTCCTGTGGAACTCGCTTCCCTCCACCGTTAGATGCTCACCCAGTCTCCATTCCTTCAAAAAATCATTAAAAACCCACTTCTTCATAAAAGCGTATCAATTAAACTGTTAATAGCTCCCATCTGATTCCTCTCTTGCAACTGTCACTAGTCTAATACTATCCTTACCTTTTGTGTCAATTTACCCCATTCCCTCTTGCATGTAAGCTCATTGAGCAGGACCCTTAACCCGTTCCTGTGTGTCTAACTTGTCTGGTTACAACTACATGTCTGTTCGTCCACCCATTGTAAAGCGCTGCGGAATTTGATGGCGCTATAGAAATATCATAATAATAACAAGGGTAGATTTGACAAAACATTTCAGGTAGGGTTGTGTTGTGTGGGCGCACATTATAGCACTTTTTGCTTTGCGCCCAAGACAGTCTATTGTATATACATTTCAGGTAGACTATGTCTGACACAATATAGTCACTCGCAAACCTCCAGGAAATGGTGGGATATGTTGGCAACAATGCCGTGGAATACTACAGTCATGCCAATTACCACTTAGTCACAAACGCTGGCCAAAGTCAGCTTTTTTTATTTGTTTTTTGCATTTTTTTAAACAAAAACTGCACTTTTACTGGTTATATCATCATCGTGATAAGTTTAACTTTTTTTTTATAATTCTTTATTTTGTTTAATTTTGATGTTAAACATAACATGTTGTACAAGTTTACTTCAATACATTTTAGTAACAATAATAATAAAGTAGTGACAAACTTTTTGAGGTACACGTTGAAGAACATAATGAAGAGTGTCAGTTTTGGCTTGTACAGGTAGAGTTAGAAAGAGAAAAATTTCAACAAGGTAACTAACAAAAACAGAATAACATTTGGTAATGTGGGTACCTATGAGAGGTGTTTTGGTATGGTTGTTTGTGGGGAGAGTAAGTTGGTGTGTTGGTGATGGCCCATCGAGCAATCGAGTTTAAGGCCTTGTCATTTTGTGGGTCTGTCGGGTGTTAAAGTTATACAGCTTGTTTGATAGACCTTCCTCTTATTTACCCTGTTCAGTTGTGCCTGGTCACCTTCCTTCTTAGGCTCGTGGTGTGCTTCAAGTGTCATATGTCTTTATTACTATGTTATTATTTATATAGCGCCAACAAATTCCGCAGCGCTTTACAGTGGGTGGACGAACATATCAAATCTCTACATAATGCTGCTTCCACCTATCTATCCTCCCTAATACACAAGTATGTCCCGTCTAGGCCCTTACGCTCTGCTGAAGACTTACGTCTATCTTCTGTCCGTACTCCTACCTCTGATGCTTGCCTTCAAGACTTGTCGAGGGCTGCACCGTTCCTGTGGAACTCACTTCCCTCATCCAATAGATGCTCACCTAGTCTCCACTCCTTCAAAAAATCATTAGAAACCCACTTTTTCATAAAAGCGTATAAATTAAACTGTTTATAGCTCCCGACTGATTCCTCTCTAGCAACTGTCATTAGTCTAATACTATCCTTACCTTTTGTGTCACTTCACCCCACTCCCTCTAGCATGTAAGCTCATTGAGCAGGGCCCTCAATCCCTCTGTTCCTGTGTGTCCAACTTGTCTGGTTACAATTACATGTTTGTTCGTCCACGCACTGTAAAGCATTGCGGAATTTGTTGGCGCTATATAAATAATAGCATAATAATAATAATAACCCTTGATAGTAATTATTGCAGTTTCACAATGTGACGAGACCAATCTCGCCACATTGCATTGGAGAAGCCTATTTGCCAGCCTCCTCCCACATGACTATGGCCCCTGGGAGATGGTGAAAATGTATGCACTTTTATTGGGTGTGTATGGTCCTTTAAGTGGGCATATTGTGGCTTATGGACTCTTTATGGGACTGGTGCTGGCCCTTTAAACACCTTTTTGGGACATCAGGAAGATTGGGACACTGCCCTTTAAGATGGTGTCCCCAGACTTGTTTGGGACACTGCCCCTTTAAGATGATGTCCCCTGTGTCCCCAGACCTGGTTAAAACTTTTTGTGCCTGGCTATTTCCCACTTGGTTCAGTAAATGGGGCTTACTGAACCAAGTACCACACAGGCAGACCACCCAGAAGTGGAAGTGTGCAGGCAATTTACCTCCCAGAAGCTGCGGTTAACCGCAGCTTAATTGACAATGCTGGGTGGCCTTTGTTCGTTTGCGGCGGCCATCTTTGTTAATGCGAACGAGGTCAGCGGTATGTGTAGCCAAATTCATGGAACTAAAATCGGCTACACATTTCCGCAAACACCGCTGAGCCCTACCTTCTCCCATACTGATTTTACAGCTGCAGGGACTAAGTCCCATTCGGCGATGGGACTTAGTCGTTTTCAGCCGTTTTTTCAGCCGTTTTTTCAGCCTGATTTCAGCTGCAGAGACTAAGTCCCAACCGGCGATAGTCCCTTAGTCGTTTTTTCAGCCTGAAATAGACCGGCCGCACAGCCCAAATCTATGGAACTGTTTTGGGCAGGAAAATGTGCTTGTGGTCGGTCATAAAGGGACCTCCAGCTAACTTTTTAACTCCTGGATGGATTTGTCTGATTTTTGGTTATGTTTATGTTTAAAGTGTGCTGATTAATCATATGTAATTTTTATGAAGATTGGATGTGTAGTTTAAAAGTTACAGTGTATGGATAAAAACTGTATTTTTACTGCCTGTGTTAATTATGTTAAACCATTGTGCAACATAATTATATCACAGGCAGGGGGGAGGATTTTTGTGTGTAATTTTTCTGTAATGTACGTTTATGATTGGTTGTTGTGTAAAACCCTGTGGGCGGTACTAATGTGTATATAATGACAGTAAACCCACAGCTCTGTCTGTTCACTGCTTGACCCTCAACACGGAGCTTTGTCTCGTTCTTGGGGGGATTTACTGTATGCTGTTAGAGACTGATTGCCAGGAGTGTAAGCTGCTTGGGTGCTTTTCCTGTTCAGCTGCTAGCAGCTATTCGTGAGGTTCCAGTTCTGGAATTTGGAGTGCTACTTGGTATCCTGTTCGGGAGTTTGGTGTTCTGCAGTGGCTGTGCCTGCATCTCTGAAAGGGGACGCTCGCCTAAACGGTTTTAACCCCTTGTGTGCTGAAACGGTCCGTTACACACAATAACTGCAAAATTTACTATTGCAGGGATAAGGGACCTGGGAATATGCACTCAGACCACTTCAGTTAGCTGCATATAGTGTCCCATTAATAAATTATAAAACAATCATATTGCAAAAATACAAAAACCCATCACAAAATAAAAATTTTAGGTCATCATGTAGATATTAAATAGTATTAGCAGCCAGTATTACACTCACAATAAGAAGTAGCTTCACAAAAAACAGAGTTAGACAAACATTCTCCTTGCTTTAAACATCAAAGTCATTTTACTGTGTTTCTATGGAAAAATAATACTAAGATAAAAGCCTACCATTCACAAATAAAGATTAGCAAAAGGTGCCCGGGCAATTTGACAGCATATAAACCCTTTCAGAGAACATTTATCCAAATAGAAATAAGCTTTGAGAAAAAAAAACATGGCAAACATGTAAATTGTATTTATTATCATCACTTTCCACTAGTCATTATTAAAAACATTTTATGATTTATTTTTTTAGAGTGACTAATGATAGATAATGATCTTTATCTTTACACTCTTCTTTTTGGAGCCACATATATATTTATCAATCAAAAATAGCTACTCACTGAGGCCATGATGTTTTGCCAACCCCCAAGCCCAGTTTTGTTGCATGCAAATGTAAGGATTACTATCATTTAATTGCATGCCTCATTATGACTTGACTGATTGATTACTGTTCAAACTAATCAGTTACATATCCAAACTTAACTGCAGATAGCATATGTTCACCCATTGCTTACACATTTTGTTGACTGTAATTTAAAATTATTAAAGCAAAATAAACATTTGGATTGTTACTTAGCACACAAAAATGGATTATTACATACCACAAAAGAAACCGTGCTAGGGGAACAAAGGTACTGCAGGGCACCTTAAGTCTTGTGTTTTGGGCAAACAGGTGTTTAAAAGTTTACCCTAGACTTCTGTACCATAACCATTTCAACTTAGTAGAGCATTTATGGTGTTGGGATCCCACAGAAGCCTTCCCATTGCTTTAACAGTGAATGAGTTATTCCAGGAGAGAGATCTGCTCATGGTTACTTGGAGTAGCCTGATTCAGGGAGGGAAAAGGGAAGAGAGGTTGGAGACTATGATGGGATTATTCTAGTCTATTCTTGACCCACATCTAAGCTGTCCTCTAAGAGGTTATGGCCCAGTGTGCTTCATTGTTTGAGTTCTACCGAGAAAACACTCCCAGGTTTTTCTCTTGTTCCTATGAAACTGTACTGTGGTACAACGACAGAAACAATGTTCACAACACTTCTGGTCTAAACTTATCAATGAATAATCTCAAATTGGATCAAACTGTAACTATACAGTACATACCATCTTTCCCTTTTGTACTTCAAATTTCAGTTATGGTATGCTGTCAGGGCCACCTGATGGATATGGATTGTCAGGGGGCCCAGTCAGTGCTGGGCGCTTTAACAGCACAACCGGGGCCCCTGTGATGAGATTACACAGAGCTGGGAGGAAGTGACTGCACGTCACTCCTCCCAGCTAACACTGAGAGCCGAGCGGGAGGAAGACCAGGGAGTCAGAGTGGGAACTCTGACTCCCATCCACCTGAGCCACCACTGGACCCCAGTCAAGAAATAGGAGGGTGACTTAAATATTGTGTATGTGTCTGTGTGCCTGTCTTTCTCTATGTATGTGTGTGTGTCTGTATGTGTCTGTATCTGTATGTGTGTCTGTCTGTGGGTGTGTGTCTGCCTGCATGTATGTGTGCCTGTTTGTATGTATGTATGTGTCTGTCTGTATGTGTGTGTGCGTGCTTGTTTGTATGTTTGTCTTGTGTGTGTGTGCATGTGTCTGTATGTGTGCCTGTCTGTATGTATGTATGCCTGTCTGTATGTGTGTGTGTCTGTCTGTATGTGCCTGCATGTGTGTATGTGTACCTGTCTGTTTGTATGTATGTATGTGTCTTTGTATGTATGTGTCTGTGTGTGTCTGTATGTATGTGCCTGTCTGTGTGCCTGTATGTGTGTGTGTGTGTGTGTCAGTGTGTGTGTGTGCCTGTCTGTGTCTGTGTGTGTCAGTCTGTATGTATGTGTCTGTGTGTCTGTCTGTATGTATATATTCGTGCCTGTCTGTTTGTATGGATGTGTGTGTGTATATGTGTCTGTGTGTTTGTCGGTGTGTATGTGTCTGTCTCTATGTATGTATGTATGTGTGTGTGTGTGTGTGTGTATGTCTGTCGGGGGAGAGGGAAAGGGGAGGAATAGGGAGGGAGGTCCCACGGATCAGTTTCGCACAGAGGGCCCATGGATTGTGTGTACGCCACTGTTCATATATCAACTGGAAAACAGTTAATTTTTAATTTCAATCAATGGCTTAATAAATTACATATTATAAAATAAAATTAAAAATAGCTTGTTGAATTTTGAATGATTGATCTTAAATTATTCACAACCCCACCCTTAAAACACAGATCAAGTGGCAACCCTATTTGCACCCTTATATTCACTTCATTTATTTACAAGGACCGATTGATGTAAAATTCTTAAGCTGACATTAAATGGGTGCATTTATTACGGTTTCAAATTACATTTTTACACATATAAACAGAATCCTAGTAAATCCAATATCACTTCTACATTTATCTAATATAACAATCTTTCTTGCAGCTAATGGTTAAAGGCCATTCAACATTTTTAGTATCAGTTTGTATCCACATTATTCTTTCTTTGCAGAATGGACACAGATACATTTCTTAATATCCTTTCATCAATTGATCTACTTTTCTAATAATCAGAGATCCTTATAACGCTGATCTTTTGTCCCTTCATTACAAAAGACTCAGATGTAAAAGCCATTATCTCTTCTAATTTTTATTAAAATGATCTTTATTAACTATGGTTGATTTTATAAATATTCTAATTTCAGTGCCATTGCTGTGTTGAATTGTGATAATGAAGTAACACTGACAGCACTAATATGAGGAAACAATTTTAAACATTTTTTTGCATTTTTTGTACCATAAATAAAATCTTGTTTTATTATATGTAACATGTATCACACACACACACACACATATATATAACCATACTAAATAAAAATGAAGAACACAGAAGAGGGTGGAATTAACAGTGAGTGTTTCAGTATGCGCTCACGTGAGCTTGTAATGACATGTATTTTGTCTGACAGATTTGTACATGTGCAGAGCCATCTCAATGAAGTGTTTTCTGTGCTGGATGCCATGCCCCCTCCCCTCTCCCCCACATTTTAACCCAGCAAGTAAATATTGGACCAGGACAATTTTTATGGGGTAGCACATTTTGTCGCTGATTGTAAATTCTCTGTGATTTAGTGGGGACCTTGAATTCACACTGATTTGGTGGGAACCCTGAATTCACACTGATTTGGTGGGAACCCTGAATTCACTCTGATTTCGCGGTATGGTAAGCTCTGTAGAGCTGAGGTTTTAGTCATGATTGATTGGAGAAAGGTATTGGTAGGCTGATTAGCCCATGATTGTTTTAGGCTTTTCTCCTCTTCTCTGCTTATTTTTTCTCTCAGTATTAGACCGTGCCTCAGTACAAGGTTAGTAGAGATCGGCTTTCATACTCCCTAGGTTTAATAGTGGTGGTTGCTAATAAAAAAAGGTGGTAGACTAACTTACAAGGTTATTTACTAAGGTTCACATTTTAGGGTTAAAATAGCTGATTATGAAAAATTCTCAGTCAGTTTTGCTATCAGTTCAGCTACTCCAGCCTTAAATTTGAAATTTACCTTGAATTCTCACTTTAGTAAATAGTCCTGTTAATCTTAGTACGATTACATTCAGTAGAAGCCTCGGATGACTACCATACTGTCGACAAGACGTGCCCTTATCTCTGTTTAGTTTTGTTTTTACATGGTTGGGTGTGGGCTGTTTCCTTGCTGGATTGGTCTGTCCATGATGTTTCTCTTAAGTTATAATTCTATGATTTTTTAACTTTTTCTTTACTGGTTGATCAGTTTGACTTCTTACGTGGGGTCCACAGGGCACCGCTCCACGCCTCCACGGTGCATTCAATTCTGTGCTTCTTTACGATAAGCATTAGTTTTACATATTGTAGCTATTGCTGCTCATGTGTTCAGTGGTGGATTTCCCATGAGGCAGAGTGGGCACCTGCCATTGGATGAAGGTATGCATTGATAATGTGCCTTTTTGGAATTAATGTGGGAGTTTTTGCGAGAGGTAGGTACCAGGAAACCTGGCCAGTGTTCCATGTCCCAGTCAGTCTCCAATGCTTGCTATCAAAGCTATAGGAACAGTTATAGATCCTGTAAACTCAGTGCTGTAAAACTCAGCTATCTCCAGTGTCTTTGTGTGAAGCTGGACAGGAAGAGGAAGGGACCACTTCCCATCTGACCATTAGTAACCTCTCACACAGGAAATTCCATGCAGGAGGAGCAGGTGAACTTCTAATTGATGTAAACTGTATAGCAGTTCATGCAGCTATACTATCAATAATAGAGTGTGAGTACTTTGCAAATTATTCCTTCAAACTCTACATGCCTGCAACCTAAATACCTCTTTCCACCTGATGTTATGTTCAACTCCACCCAAAACCCCAACAAACCCTTTTGTTAGTTCCAGATTTAAAGAGACATGCTTCATTCAAATGCTTTAGTTTTGAATGAGACAGTTGCCTCATCTGCAGGCCAAAAAAGCAGGTAATAGTGATTTTTTTTGTTAGATTTACATGCTTTTTCGTTCATATGCTTTCCACGTCCATTCCAGGGGGAGACTGATCTAACCATTCAGTGTCCTATCCCTAGGAATGCTAGAAAAGTGCATTGGAGATGATTGACATATTTACACATGTGCAGCTGGAAGATCTATTCACCTTGCTACATCCTGACAGGGAAAGAAGAGATGGAGTCAGATCAGTGTTATTTAGGCTGTTGGGTTGGGCTGCACAATACCCTGTTTCTGTCTCTGTGGACTAGTCTGAAACTGAAATGGGTGAGTATGGTGGTGGGGGAGGCGGCTGAAGAAACCCCCTAGCCGAGAGGTGTTCCCAATAATGCAATCTAACCAAATTTATAATAAGTTTATAAATGCCTATTACATACTTTTCCAAGTTTTTCTTGTTTTATTTCGGTTTGTGTATTTGTTTAAAAATGTGTTTGGTTGCTGGTTTAAAAAAATAATTGTCGGGGGTGGGGAATGACTTCCATGCTGAACAGTCGCATAGAAAGTGAGCTCCCTAGCACTCTTTACAGTCTTGCTAAAATACTGGCTTATTCCTGACTACTACCCACACCATTTTACTGTGATACCACCTGTACTCACCTGCTATTGCATAGAAGCTAAACATGCTTATTTTTCCTACGATTCTGCAGCTGGAGCCTACTACGACCTTGATGAGGGAAGTGGACGACCCCTCACCTGGTACCCAACACACCTGTGGAGATTACCTCCAGGTCTCCTGATCCCCCCCCCCTCTGGACCAGTGGAGGTTATCCAGTTACTCACTGTGGAGGCTCCTACCGACTTAAATAACAGATTGTTCCTACTCATAAAGGCACAAAAGTGCTCTCCACAAAATGTTTGTACGGCCTTGTGGTGCAGAATCCAGTTTGCAACAGGTTTATATATCCTCATTCTGTCCAAATTCAATCAACTTTGTGAGAGATTCTGTGCACTATTGCACAAGCGAGCATCTCAGATACTACTCAATGCTGACCATCAGCCTGTGGCTCAGCGACTGCAGGACCAGTGTCAGCTGGATCCCATGGCGGACCAATCTGCCAACTCTTACAGTATCCTTCAGCAGTTATACCTTCCTGGGCAGAGGGCCATTGAGGTCTTGTCCCCACACCTGTAGAGGGCTATGTTGAGGAGACATCAAAGCAATTGACCCAGTCTTGTAATCCACTATCTAAGGGGAAGGACTTGAACATTATTAATGGCCGGATCAGTGGAACATTGATTAATTGATTGCTGATCTTCTTATGGCACAATTCTATGCCTAATGATAGTCATGCTAAATCATGCTATGTATTTAATCTACTATCTTTTATTGTTAAACAAAATTAAGCAGAATTTTATGTATCACACTTACACTTTTGTCAAGTATTCTGCATGAGTCTTACTAACATGCTGCTGTATGCTGCTTATATTTCTCATTTGTGATGTGCTATCATCGCAATAAAAAAAATTATTTAAAAAGAAAAAAATATATCTGTCAAGCGATGCATGTCCCTTTAACCACTCAAAGCTTAAACCTGAAATAAGCTTTACCTTAATCCTAGGCTTAAAGGATCACTCTAGGCACAAAGACCACTTCAGCTTAATGAAGTGGTCTGGGTGCCAGGTCAAGCTAGGGTTAACACATTTTTTTTATAAACATAGCAGTTTCAGAGAAACTGCTATGTTTACAAATGGGTTAATCCTTCCTCCAAAGCCTCCAGTGTCTGTCTCATTGACAGCTGCTAGAGGCGCTTGCGTGATTCTCATGGCTTTTTAATTCTTTTTTTTTTTTTTAAATGGGGCCCAATAATCTATTTAAAGGAATTTATTTTTAAAGAACCTAAAATCTCAGGTGAGTGTTAAATCGTTTTTAATGGTTTAATGCTA